AGTGTGATGTAACGTCGGTAGATCAGAAAAGACATGTGGACACGAGTCACGCGACCCGTAGACTACCCTCGATCAGATGAAAAAATAAGGAGAGTTGCACAATGCACATACGACGACGTCGACGCGTCCACGATCCACCGAGCTCATGTCATGACTCGAGTATATGATCAGATTATAGTCTATCTATCTAGCTAGACGCATGCTATTACCGGTATGCCATAGCCCATACTGGCCATAGGGTCTAAAAAATAAAAATACAAATAAAAGAAAGTGCTTCTGCAGAGCTATTTTTACCGACCTGACCATTGTTGTCAGCTTGGTCCCTGGCGTTCAAGGTTTTTTTTGTTTCCTCTACTCTAGCGTCCCACCTCTACTCTAGCTAGCTCTTGCTCTTCGCTGTGATTGTGTCATCCTTGCATCTGTGAACTGCATGCTACAACAACAGCCGGCTAGCTAGCTAGCCTGCATGCAATGCTGCATGGCCAAGCTACTGAGTACTAGAAAACAGAAAAAAATGATTTACATGAGGCCATCCAGTCGTTGTTTCGGGTCACCCGACCGACCGTCTTTTTTCACCCGACCGCAAAATGTTTTTTTTTATAGTGGATGCAAATGTACAGACTAGACTATGTACACACGCGACCCTAATGTCCAGATATCGCCCTCAGAAGCAGTCATCAATGGTCATGGCTAGCCAAATGACAGGTGCTTGGTGATGACGTTGTCTTCTATCTCCGATCCGCAATCGGTCCTGAAACAGCATCAGCTCCGCCACCTTGTCGCTATTTACAGAAGTTTTCAAGGTGAGAGCTGCTCGTCAGACTCGTTTGCCAGCGAGGCCAAGATCTGGTCCTGGAGGGGACCTGGATCTGATGGGACCATGACTGCGCTGCCGATTGTCTACACTACAGTCAGATTTGATCGACTGGCTAGATGGACAAAAGCTATTCGATGTACATGTATGCACATGGACGTAACCAAAATAAAAAATAAAATAAAATAAAAAATAAACCCGACCGACCGACCCTGGTACGGATGAGTGAAGTGACCCGAAACAACGAATTAATTCTAGGTGGCCTAATGTACCTGATGTACAGTCTTGATAAAATAGTTTCAACGGTCGCGCTGGAAACGAAGAGTATCCCTGGTGATGTTTGTGCCTGGAGCTGTCCCCGGGGAAAATTGCAATTCCGCGGCCGCGTTTTTTTCCGCGTTTTTTGCGATTTTTTAAAAGACCGCGTTTTCCGCGATTTTCCCGCGTTTTTTGAACTTTTTTGTTGCACTACACGTACACACAGTGCACTGTTCGGTCAGCAACGTCTCATCGTGGCGGCTTTTTACTCAAATATGACGAGTGCTTACACCAGAGACTTGTAACTGATTGATTTCACTACATACTCACTGAAAATTGCCGCACATCAATATTATTCACCGCATATTTTCCGCAAATTCACCGCAAATTATGCCATATTATGCCGCGTTTTCCCCCGCGTTTTTTGCGATTTTTTTCCGCAATTTTCCCCGGGGACAGCTGGAGCTGGCGATCAATCGTTGCAGGAAACGACGTTACCATGGTTACGTCTTCTCGCTTTCCTGGCGACTATAATTACTAGGCCTATAACAGGCTGCCTAGGGAGGTTTAGTTCCCACGTAACGGAAACGCGTAGAACTACAATGTACGCGTAGAACTACAATGTACGTGGGTGATACACGTTAAAGTGGATGAAGGGCATCCCCGTTCCAATGTTATGTTTAGTCACACGGAACAAACAAAAGCAACCATCACCCTCATCCCTCACGTGAGGCTAAGCAACCCATGATCCACACGGCCATCATGGCAATATTTTTTCTGTGCTGAATCAGACACCAACCAGCTATCGCTAGGCTATGCTTTATTGGCCAAGTCCCACTGAGCATGTAATAGTCGCCTGATGATTGCATTGAGCAAGAAACTCCGAGTTGCGACAACTCTGTAAACTCTGCAATTCTGCCAATTTTTCTGCCGGCAGAATCCGCCGGACCCTAGTATTGACTCCCATTGATTTTCGCTATACATGTACCTAAGCAGCCAAATATTCCTGCATATTTCACTCCTTAGGGCTATATTGGTTGATACATGTAAATATGGTGGTAAAGACACACCTGGCAATATGGCGGTAAACATACGCGTGGGCAGGCGTGTGTTTAGCGCCATATTGCCAGGTGTGTCTTTACCACCATATTTATCAACCATAAGTACAGCTGCAGTGGTGTCTTCAACTTCATTTAATAGGGCTATATTGACTGCTTATATTGACTGCTTAGCGGTTGCGCAGTTGAACGGTGCCTAGTGCAGCATTGTCACTGCATGAGTAGGTGGTGGTGCAACGGTTGTGCAATCATAAAACCGGGATTCATGAGGTTATCGTTCTGGAATTTGAAATACGGACTGTTTGTCGTGATAAATCAAATATTGACTTCGTACTTGGTCAGTATAGGAAATAAGACCTCCTCTTCGCCTCGGTCCTTTACTCGGCTTTTATTTCCTATATTGACCTCGTACTCAGTCAATATTTTAATAATAGATACATAATACTTATCACTGGAAGCCAGGGAGGCTTCTTCCTTGACTTGAGTCAAATCATGCATGACCAGATCGGTAACACACCGAGTGTGCAATTCTGACGCCAGAATTAGGGTGCTCTCGGAAAAGTTGGAGACTCTCCGAAAGGTTCGAGAGCTGTTCTTACAGTATATCCTCTCCGAATTTTAGGAGGCTCTCCAAACGGCTCTCCAAAGCTCTCCAAGCTTCAGAGGTAGAGGTGGTTGAAACTTACTTGGAGATTCCCGCGGTTTGGGATCAGCGCATGCGAACTAGGCTAAAAGCCACGTGTTGATCATGAGTGTACTCGTGGCACTCAAGATCGCGGCCCCTTTGGCGCTTCATTTTGCTTGACACCTGCAAAATATCTCCGAGACCCGTTCTTGAAGAGTCCCAGTTTCTTCGACTTCTCTTTCCTTCTTCTCCTAGAAGCTAGAGAATTTAAGAACGCACCCTAACTTAGTATAGAGAAATTCCGCCCTCTCTTCAGAATTAACGGATAAAATCAAGCCGAGGTCTTTTAATAAGTTTTATTTCCTATATTGACCACAACTATATTGACCACAACTATATTGACCACAACTATATTGACCACTACTAAGTACGAAGTCAATATTAGATTTATCACGACTAACCAAAGCATGTGTTCAATCCCTAAAAAGGAGTCAAATATAAGCAGTCAATTATACATGTAGCCCTAAGGAGTATCGACGTTGCCTAGCTTCATTCCATTTCAATATCACGCAGAGTGCGAGACGCCCTAACAAAATTATTCTCCCTAAAGCAAAGACCACATCAAAATCGTTGTTTCTCTTCCAAACCTCCCTCTTATGGAACTGCCTCCCACCAAGACTAACTGCAGAACCATCCATTATTGTTTTCAAGAATGAGCTTCGCAAACTCACTTGCAAACATAGTGCTTCGCTCTCCGGTATGCCTACGCCATGTACATAACCCCCCCCCCCCCCGTGTGCTCCCCAACGCATTCACGCTGCACAACTTTTCACTACTTTCACTTTAGCTCATACGTGTACATGTACATCCTTCAAAGCGGTGAACCCCTTGATAGGCGACAAGCCTCTGGGTCATCCTAATAAAGATATTATTATTAAAGAGTGAACTATGCAGGAATACAATGTATTTGACTGCTTATGTACATGTACATGTACATGTATGTGCATGTATAGCAAAAATCTATTGGAGTCAATACTAAGGGAGTGATAACACAAAGGCACACAATGAAAACCTTGGTAAATTAATTCCGTGGGAAACTCCCGGTGTGGCGCGAAAGCAGGGCTACAACCGTAGTTGCTACTTTTGAGTTTTGTCTTCCCGAAAAGCTAATTGCCGCAGTTGAATTTCCGCTGGGAGCTGATCAGTCTTTTAGACCAGATCATTTTGGTTGGTCTTTTCGCACACGCGTTCAGCTTTATCGAACTCACTGGCGAAGCCCAATATTGTTGCCGACATGGAGCCTTCACCGAGATGGACCGGTACGCGAAGCTGGGTCGACGTGCGCGCGAGGCCGAGGGTGTACGTGCTATCTTTTTACGACCAATTATTATTATGTTTGTCGTTCGTTTACATGGCCGGAATTCGTACATTTTGGTCATTCGAGAATTACAAAACCCAGTTCCAGAAGCGACCAGTACAGTGCAGTACACTGTCCCCGGGGAAAATTGCGGAAAAAAATCGCAAAAAAACGCGGGGAAAAACGCGGCATAATATGGCATAATTTGCGGTGAATTTGCGGTAAATATGCGGTAAATATGCGGTGAATAATATTGATGTGCGGCAATTTTCAGTGAGTATGTAGTGAAATCAATCAGTTACAAGTCTCTGGTGTAAGCACTCGTCATATTTGAGTAAAAAGCCGCCACGATGAGACGTTGCTGACCGAACAGTGCACTGTGTGTACGTGTAATGCAACAAAAAAAGTTCAAAAACGCGGGAAAATCGCGGAAAACGCGGTCTTTTAAAAAATTGCAAAAAACGCGGAAAAAAACGCGGCCGCGGAATTGCAATTTTCCCCGGGGCCAGAGTACAGTAGTGCAGTGTAAACCACTGTAAACAATACAATGGTAAACGACAACGACGGGGTTATGACTTATGTGTAAATCATGGTAATCGAAAGCGCCCAATGCATTACCACATTACCGGTATGTGACATGACCGGCCTGTTCATGTTCTGACTGACAGTGACAGTCTGTGTAGGCGTAGGCTTGTCACTCACGAGTCATCACTGGTCATCATGGTCATACTCATACTATACGCGACAAAGACTAGTACTAGTAGTAGTAGTACAGACTCAGCAGTTGTTTTGAAGGCAGTGCAGTGCAGTGTGCCATGCATTCCACAGCGACCCAGCATGGCCAGTCCGAATGGCGATGATCTTAGTTGAACATCGGAACATGAACATGAATGATGACTGGTAATCATGGTAATGCACTAGTAGTAAGTAGTATAGTAAATGCCGTAAATGCCGTAATAATAATGCCTAATGCACACGGTACTCGGTAGATCGACTAGGACTAGTACAATGTAGTACAGTACTTAGTTGCTGCCTGTACTGGTAGATCTACGTAAGTCGTAATGACCGTCGTTGTTGAACAGGGCAACAAAGCAGGTGACCGACTTCTCCCGTTACGTACCGGTTCGTAGAAATCGTCCGCATCCAGACCAGAGTTCTTGAAACGGGAACGATAGCGTCGTGGCTGGCGTGGTGGGGCCAGAGAAGGTGATCTGCGACAGGGAAAGAAGATCGATCAGCAAGTGCATGCAGCTAGGTGGGTGCACTTCGTCCGATGTTTAGGCGAGCGGCTTGGAACGCTATCGTGTTTTGCGGCTTGACTAATCTCACTACGTGAAACTTCTTGTTGTTGACACAGGTCCGCGGCATGGGTGCCCTGCACTATCAACTCGAGAACCGTTTTTGTTGAAGCTGTGAAGAGAACGATGGAGACGGTAGGTCTGAAAGATACGCACCAGAACAGATTGTGTTTGGGGCCTCGTAAGGCTCGAGGAGAGGTATGCGCAGGCGCTCCACTGCGAGTGAGGAGTGGCGTGGTAATTTGGTTGACTTTCATCATTGTCTTGCGATAGTGTCTGTGTCGATGGCGTTTGGATACCATCATTATCCACGGCACGTGTCTTGTGAAGGATTGTGTGGGATTGTGGGCTCGAGTTCTAGAAAACTCGGCGCACGAGATTGCATAGTAAAACTCCAGTCTTCGAAATTATTATTTTATACATGGACGGGTAGTCAAACAACTACTACTGTACTATGTCACTATGTACAATGTAACTGTTAATAATTGTTGCTTACGGAGAGGAGCGCCTGTGGGTGCTGTACTGGACTCCTGAGATACTGGTGGGTGAAATTCGGTTACAATACATATCATGAACTGAATTACATGTCTGGAGTCATACCAACTACTGTCGTGGACATGGAAATCCGGTCACACGTCTAGCGGCACCAGGGCACTGGCCAAGCAGCCGTGGGCAAGCAGTACACACATAATAATTATGTGCTGCAGCGCCCTGGTCGCATCGGATCAACATGACTATGTTCTGTATGCGCTGAGGGCGCCGGCCCCAGTTAATCAGGCGACTGCATTTCCATGTCCACGACAGTATGTTGATGAGGTGCGGGGAGGGGGATGGTGGTGGAACGTTGGTCTGGGCCGAAATTTGGAGTCAGCAGGTCACGCCTGTGATCCCTAGTTGTATAGGCCACAGATCTTGTGTGGAACTTCCAAATCTGGGGTCAAAACGCACATTATACCACTTTTTTTACAAACTCCCATTGAATTGAATTTTAACACAGCCTGTTCAAGTATAAACCTCAATAAATATAAAATAATGCCTTCGGAGTTGAATGGAGGCTTTTTCATGAGCCGCCACACCATAATTGTGCTCTCCAGCCGACCTCGACACGACGTTGCCACAGCACACCACCAGAATAGCGACACATCCGTTGGTACTGAATTCCTTCGTACAGCTGTTTTGAGTATAAAACTCTCAGTCATCGGTGGGAGAATTGTACTTCGAAGTAGAATGGATAAGATAGTGAAAATCCCCCTTTTGTACTCGAAGGGGTAGTAGTAGTCTAGGGAAGTCCCAACAGGCATGGCCTCGTTACAGGGAATCCTAGGTGAATCTTTGTGAGGTGAGCAAAAGTACCAGCAGATTGTGCCTGACGACAGTTTGGAGGAAGAGTGTTCCACCGACCTGCCGCCAGAAAAGAAACTGAGCGCAGTCCATACCCTATATGTACAGTAGGTAATACTAAGGCAGCTGTATCCTGGCCACGAGTACGAGCATTTGTGTGCGGGCCAACTGGACGCAGGAGAAACAGTGACTGAAGGAGGGGGCTAGCAATTGATGACAAGCAGCGATAGACCAAAACGATAAATAGTTTCAAATTAACTCTTTGCTCAAACGAATACAGATGACACCGTTGTAAAACTAATGCAGTTGGGTTCATTCTATCTAAACCAAATGCCTTCTTCATCGCAATATGGCTGACCGTTACAAGCCTGTTATATAGGGTAGTTTTCAAACAGTGCACACACGCATTACTTGCATATTCTAGAGTAGACTGTATAATTGACAAGTAGAAAGTTCTTCGAGCTGTAGCTGATAAATTGCGACGGCCATGAGCAAAACAGGCTAGTTTAGCGAAGACCGCTGAACACACCTTTTCTACTTGTGGGCGGAACATTAGATGAGAGGGTAAGCATAATGCTCGCGCCTGAGGCGCGAAGATTAGGGCTAAGCAAAAGAGCCAAGTGCAAAACACTGTGAAAAACTAAACTAAAGATAATGTATAATCATAAAAAATAAAAAGGACCAAGGAACTACAACTTGACACTTGACTGACTCACGACTGCCATCTGGAGCGCACGAGGAGCACGTCGCACCTTCCTCTCGGCAAACCTGCAAGAAAGCACCACTCCCTGCTCAATACACTGATGAGGGGTGAATTCCCCGAAACACTGTGTATTGAGCAAGGAGTGGTGCTTTCTTGCAGGTTTGCGGAGAGGAAGGTGCGACGTGCTCCTCGTGCGCTAGATGGCAGTCGTGAGTCAGTCAAGTGTCAAGTTCGGCAAGAAGCGTGTGTTCCTAGTTGGAGCGATCAACTTCATGACAGTTACCGCCGAAGTCGCAACTTCTAAGTTCGTATTGTTGTCCCTCACGCGGACGTGCGACTAGTTGTTGGAGGTGACAGCGTTGTGAATAGCTATACTGGCTCTCAACGTCTGTTTAGCACAACTCCATGAGCGACTCTGACTCACACTGCTACCTGGGGCTTCACGAGGTGTTTGTCGCGCTGGAAGCAAAGCATCTCTGTAAGTTTGTATCCCTGGTGATGGTTTGGCCTGGAGAGCAGAATATAAGTGGTGCTTTTCAGGCACAATCTTCCTCAGCCTACTCAAGCTCAACTGATGAGGGGTGAATTCCCCTGAAACACTGTGTATTGAGCAGGGGGTGGTGCTTTCTTGCAGGTTTGCCAAGAGGAAGTGCGACGTGCTCCTCATGCGCTCCAGATGGCAGTCGTGAGTCAGTCAAGTGTCAAGTTCGGCAAGAAGCGTGTGTTCCTAGTTGGAACAATCAACTTCATGACAATTACCGCCGAAGTCGCAACTTCTAAGTTCAAGGAACTACAAGTTACGCTATATAATGTCCACTAACACCACCAGTTACTGAACAATCAGCTCATGCGATAACATTGCACGACACCGACCGACAGCACTGACATTCTACAACTAACTGGCTAACATCTAGCACATCTTGGATGCGCACTCCAACAGCCTCCCAACTTGGAAGGTTCTAAGTTATAGAAGTAATATAAGGAGGGGAAGGTGAGCGCAACCAAGGTAAGCACGAGCTGAAGGTCTCAGCTGTGAAGGACGTTGGCGGATGTTCACGCATGTCGATGACGATACTGGCGAGACTTTTATTTTTATAAATTAATCGTTGGCTCTCCATCCGAGTCCATTAATGTAACGTCGTGATACTAATATGAAAAATCTGTATAGGGCCGAATGCTGCTGCCTTCTCCTTTGTCTTGAATGAAGGCTGGTATAAATATACTCCAGACTACACTTCGGTTATACTCCACTTTTATAAGCCTCTAAGGTTAGTTTGTATACCTATTTTGGGTGCAATCAGGGCCAAGGTTGCTTGAAAGAGTGCTCAATGAAACCAGAGTGCAGAGTAGTATGCACACAGAAGACGAGCTGTTTATCTGTGACTTCCAAGTTTCATGCAGTTGGCGATCATACTGTCTGATGATCCCCCCAGTGCATGAAACTAACTACTTGAATTAATAGCACTGCAAACAGATCACTCACGTGCTATGGTCTCATGCAATCTCCCTACATGCTACGGTTCCCTGGTTTGTAGTGTTGGTTGTGGTTTAGCCAAGCACTGTGGACTGTGTGTGTGTGTGTGGGGGGGGGGTCCCATATGGACACGTGTAGAATCAGCGCCACTGTTAAACAAACCTGGTACGTACCCTAGCAAGACGTACACTTGCATAGTATGGGCATTGTTCAAGCCACAGGTGGATTGCCCTATATTGAACCTTATGTTTGGGCTAGAAGTGGATTGGTTACTACCGGTATAAAGCAGGGCCGGAGGAAGTAGTTTGGGAGTGGTCCAGCCAACCTTTGAGGGGGGTCCGGGGGATGTCCCACGGGAGAAATATTGAAAATTTACGTGAAATAGGGCGAATTTGCATCTCGTGAGGCTCCAGAAAATGCAGAGAATTATAGTAAAAGAACACAAAAACTACTTTTTTCCATAATATTAAAGCCATACAGTGCCGGTGATGGTAGCATCCAAGAGATTGAAAACTGTCTGTGAGGAATAGGTAAAAAAGCGATCTATAAAGATTTTAGTAACTATGATCTCGTGTCGACTTCTCCATGTATGCGATACGATCGACTCCCTCCATCGAAAGAGGAGTCTCTTTCGATCGAGACTCTTCTGTCTTGTACGATGTTTTCGCTCGCTTCCAATGTTGCCTAGTGCGAGCATTTCGTTAGGAGTGACTGGTGGTACTTCTTTGGTGGAAGGTGAGCTCATGAGGTCGTGCTGCAGTCTGCTTGTCACGTAGTCCTGAGCTACTTCGAAGCACATCACACGTCGGCAGTACAGTCGAGTCATGTACCTCTGGATTTTTTACACCGGTTTTGCACGAATTACATGGACCATCCAGCTGGGAAAGTGGTCCGGCCATGGCCGGACCAGCCTGACCGGTTCCGCCGGCCCTGTAAAGTACATCTTGCTGTTCCCCGTGCAGGGCCATAGCACTGGGGTTTCAGGTGATTCGGCCAAGTGAGATACTTGAACGGAGAGTGAATAGTATTAAATCTGAGACTGCTTGGTTTCAAACCTAGAATCTGCATGTACTGGCGTGCATGGATTGGGTGGGTCAACCTTTTCGAAATAAAGTAGTGCAGCCATGGTCAGACAGGCAGGCATAGTGGGATGGTCTGAGACTATGATTGAGAAACAGAGGGTACCAGGTTCAAGTCCTGCTAGGAAGCGGAAGGAATTTTTCCAGGCGTGCTGCGACCCAGAGTTAATTGGGAACTTGTGGCCTGGCACGAGGAAAACATGGATGCAGTGAATGGGATTTTCGGTCTTTGACCACTTGCTGGTGAGCTGATCTACTCACCTCCCACCCATGGAGTCGTAAAATACTACTCCCTGCTCCCACCGCTTTTGGAGCTGCATCTGCCCCTTGATCCTTGAAGGGTGGTGGCGTTCCTACGGATGCGGAAAACTCGACCTTTAGCCAAGTCTGCCGCGAACCGTGAATTTTTATTTTTAATGGTCAGACTGACTGGATTGGGTGCTACGGCCCTTCCGTGGACTACGTCTTATCAGGGTTCCACTGTACTATTATGTCGCAAGCTTCAACATTTTTCCCTTGCTTAGGCTGTCATCACACC